CTACCCAAAGTAGCATTATTTAGAAATATTTATTTTGATGTAAATAACATCCCTGTGAAAAGTAAACTTATGAAGATTGTCTGTTGTTTTCAAACCTTATCTTGAAAGTGTGATAAATTTTGAAGAGAAAAGTTTTTTTAAAGTTTAAATTTCATTTTCTCTTCAACTAAATGAAAATTTACTGCAGTTTGTCTGTCTACAGTATTAATAAAAATTTCAAGTATACACATAATAAAAGATAAAAAAAAAAAAATCTAAAGTGGCAATTAATACAGACTTTTTTTTTTTTTTTTACTAAAGAAAAGGATATTTTAAACTCAGGTTTTGCTGGGTGTCCAGACATGTGAAGACACATTCTGTTGAGTTACTTCAGCTCTTTGCTTTTCCTTGTTTGTCTCCCATCCTTGGGGGTAGACATGATTTACCAGTTACTTTTCAGAGACCTATCAAGCGGACCCTAACTAATGGATTATAAATGTATCAGTCTACATCGAATCATCTTCACCCAGGTGGGTTAACCCCCCAATCCCTTGCCCGTTGTTGTCGTGGGGGGGCTTAGGAGGCGGAGACTGGGACCCAATGATGGGGAACTCCCCAACCTTGGGACTCAGCCCTCGACTCAACTAATTGTGCATGGTCTTTTTTTCCCTTCCCACTTTTGTTTCTGTCCCTTCACCAAACCCTTCTGCTATCCACCTCCTAAGGTGTGAGAGCCGTGCTGAAAGGATGAAAGGCTGACTTTGTGCCAGTCCTGAACGGCCTGAGGGAGCCATGGGCACGGTATTCCCCTGATTTAGTATCTAGCCCTTACCCCTCAAGGGGACCCTGAGGGGTGGACTATTTTTATCCCCAACATAACCAGGCTTACCATGGCCAGTAATGAAAATATATCCCCACTGTTAGGGGCAATGAGGCTTGCCCCTTTATCAAATAGCCCCAAAGAAGTAAACCCACCCGATTCCCCGACCCCAGGCTCTCCTTTGACCACGGCTCCAAACACTGCAATAACTGCCCCTTCACCAATGCCTACTAGTACAGTAGCCAACAATCAACCCTCAAGGAACATTTCCACTCTCCCAGCATGCCCAACTTCAACACCTCTACCCCCACAACCTCCAACATCAACCACCCCATCCTCCCTTATTAATACCTTACAGCCTTATAGCCCACATCTCCATAACACTACCTCCATCAACACTACTCCATCTTCGTCACGCCCTCGCCCTTCTACCACCCCTATCTCTAAAACAATCTTGAATACTCTCTTCAGTGGAGCCAAATGGGACCGATTTTTCGTGATCCCTCCCACAGCTCCCTACTCTGACAACACCCTTCTCTTCCAACAATGCCTCCAAAAACAAGTAGGTAAAGTCTCTTTCCGTAGCCGACCCGACCGCTCCCGTCTTGTAACAGTAACATCCGAAAACCAAGCCATTGCATTAACAAAAACTAACTGACCTATATGGTAACCCCATCCTAGCAGAACCCCATCCAACCCTCAATACTTGCACCGGAACAGTCTCAATCTCACCAGCAAATTGCCCAATCTATGACAAAGATTGGTCAGATTGTGGAGATCTACTTGCCTGTCTCACAGACTACGATGCAACATCAGTACAATGCTACTCCATCCCCCCCCAGAGGTCATCGAAAGAAACCCACTAACATAGCCAAAATTACCTTCCGTAGACATGACCTTCCCTTTAACGTCTACATAGGAGGAGAATCCCTCCCTGTTCGTCCATACCAACCTCCTCCATGTCAGTGCCAAAATTGTTGGCGTCTAGGACACCCAGCCAAACACTGCCGTTCCACAGCCAGATGCCCATTATGTGCCCAACCTGGCCATACCCGATCTAACTGCTCTGCACAATCACGCACATGTGCCAACTGTGGCGGCCCCCATAATGTATTTTATAGGGGCTGTCCCACCTACAAATTTGAATCTGAGGTAGCAACTCTCAGATTCAAACTCGGACTCACACTGCGTGAAGCCAGACAGGAAGCACGTCGACGTGGATTCTCTCTTACTCCTTACTCCAGTAATACTGCTCATTCTAACACTTCTCCTAAACCCACCCCTCCTACATCTAACCCCCCCACTAACCCCACCTACCTTCCCCAGTCAAACTCTTTTGCCATCCTAAATCCAGAAACTCCAATCTCTACTACAGATACTCCAATCACCACTACAACCCCAACACCTTCCTCTCTCCCTCCTCGCACTCCCCGTAACAGACAGAACAAACGTTCCACCCCCTCTTCCCCTACCACACAATCACCTCCACCATCCTTTGCCCCTACTCTTGAGACACCAGTCCTCTCTTCTCCCCCTCACAAGAAATCCTTTATCCCCCAAAACTCTCTTGAGACACCAGCGTTCTCTCCCCCCCCTCACAAGAAATCCTTTATCCCACAAAACTCCCCAACCAACTCCATTGAAGAAACTCTTGAAAATATCCAAGACTTCTTAATGAAAACTGACCCCCATCAACCTTCAAATCCTACAACTCCTGCTTCCTCCACACACCAAGTGACTGCTGATATCCATCCTCCTCCTAACGATATCCCCCCTACACCCTATCCTCCTACCCCCTCCCAACACAACCCATCCCCCCAACTCCAACCCCACCCACATTAACCCTCCCACCATCCCCTCTATCCCTTCCACTCCCTCCTGGATACACACATGAATCCCTTATATCACAAGCATCCCTTTCCACACCCGTCTAACACCTATCTGATGTCGCAATCCGATCCACCCCTATGCTCTTTATGTAATGTTCCTCTTTCAGTCTCACACATTCTGTTATCATGCACACGTTTTGAAGCAGCCTGTAGCTCTGCTTCCCCCCCCCCCCCACCTATCCTCCCTTCGACAACCTGTTTTCCTCTCAAACACATAAATATCCCTCACTTAATCTAACCCCTTTACATTACCTCACCCGACCTTAACCCATTCACTCACCAATTCCTTTGCCCAGCTTTGTTAACTAATCACTAACTTAACCACCCTTTACTAACATTTACTATAGTGCTACATGACCTTAGATGTCTAGCACATTTATTTTTGCTTTTAACCATTAACCATTAACCAGGTGGGTTAATATACTGGTCGATGCCCAGTGTATGGGATCACCCCTGCCTTGGTCTTCAGCCCTTGCCTCAACTCATTTTGTATGGTCTCTTCTTCTCCTCCTTTCCTTTTCCTTCTTCAACTCCTTGTACTTATCCTTATTAACTCATTTTTGCAGTTTTTGCCACAATACTTTACCATGATGCTCCTTACTTCCTTAGCTCCTTCCTCTTCTAACAACCCTCTGTACCCATTTCACTACCATACTACCCTCTAGTACTGTTCAACCTGTAGCAGTACATTAATCATTAACTCATTAAGAGGGAGGGAGGGAGGAAGAGGGAAGGAGGGAGAGTGAAGAGCAAAGAGAGAGAAGAGAGAATGATAGTTGCTCTTGTAATCTCCATCATCTCACAGCCCAGACCCCCCCCCCCCACACACACACACACATAACACACACCCACACACACACACACACACACACACACACACACACACACAGAGTACATGAATTGTCATTGAAAGAGAATATCTTTTAAGCTTACAACACATTTTGTGTTTTTCAAGATGTAGATCTTAGAAATAAAACAACTTTAAAAAAATGTCTTTATTATAAAACCTATTTCATATTTCAGTTCTATGGTACAGCAGTGACTCATAGGAGCTCTTACCAATCTTTAAATATTATTATTTCATATCTTTATTATTTTAATAATGGCACTTGAAAATTGGCACATTAACTGTGACCAGAAACAGTTCTTTTGGAAAGCTTAAACATCTCTTATCTACTGTATTTATTCTTCTAGTGAGAGAACTCTATGGATGATCAAAGGCGATACACTTCCATGCAACATGAGCACATGAGATTCGTGGAAAGTTGAATAATAAATAATTAAAAGGTTTGCTAATGTCCAGTTTGTACTTTGATCACAAAAAAACTCCCACTTGACACAGATTACCATGCACTGAACTACACCCTTGAACCACCTATGAGTTTAGCTTTCACATGTATACCAAGCCTGATGCTCCTTCAAGCACCTTTAAGAGAAAGAAACATCATAATTGCTGACCTGCATGCATAGCACTATATAATTGTGATCTTATATCTAAAGAAATAAGCAGCAGACACCATAATGAGGCTAGTAAAACTCAATGCAAAGATTTACAGCATATTATCATGTTTGTTCTCATGAATTCTAACATCTGCTCACCTTCTACCTTGTATTTGTACTTAGTTCTAAGAAATTTCAGATTGGCAAAAGATATTCTTC